CTCGGCGAAGAAATGCATTGGTGCATTTATTACAGTTTGGACAAGAATTTTGTGTAGTCCCAGCCCTGACGTGATGACAATTTTGATCATGATTTGCCTGTGGTTGATTAGCGTAGCATATACAAGCAAGGTATGTTAAGAGCCCACCATATCATTAGTCCCTGCGAGCCTGAGGCGGCCACAGCAAGTAGGACGTAAACACCAATAAACTGGGCAGCCTTCTTTCCATTGTCATCCGTAAACAACTCCAACCATATTTCTACAAACTCATTAGCGGAATCAAACCCACGGTGAGGAATGCACTTACGAGGGAACACAGAGGAGAATGTGTGTACAATAATAATCGTGCAGGCAACCAACGTGTGACGCCATCCTATCGCCTTCAGGTAGTAGGTGTAGACTGCAGTATCACCCATACGGCGGGATATATCAGCTATGTCATCGGCAGTCAGTGTTTCAACTTTTTTGGTAGACGTCTCCTCTCCGCTGTCAGTGAGGACAGTCTGGGTCTCTGGAGTGGCATCCGTGGTGTCAGGATATACATGCGAGGCGAAACCTAAGCTCCGCCTGGGGCCTTGTTTTTCGATACGTCCGCTCGAGTTTAATATGACAACGTTATCTGCGAAGCGTAGATGGTGGCCTGAACAATACTTTAGTTCTAACTGCACACATTGTCGCGGAAAAAATACTGACCTGAATGAGTTGCCATCAATACAGCCACACCTATGCGCCTGCATATTCCATTATCGCCAAATAGAGCCTCTGCGACATACTGTGCGGTCTTGTTGTCAACAGCACTTAGTGCATCGTCTAGCACCAGAAGGTTTTTCCTTGAGTAGATCGCCCGAGCCAGTGCCTATAATTTTGTTAGTGACGTAACAGTAATGTGTCTGCGGTGATGTACCAGACGCTGCTTCTGTCCTCCACTCAGCTTGAGAGCCCCGCTACCGACCACAGAATGATCACGCCCCGGCATTCGAGAGATGTCCTCTTCTAAGGTACATGCCCTTAGTACCTCACTATACCAGGTATGGTCTATCTCAGTATAACCACATATGTTGTCGCGAATGGAAGCGTTCTGGAGCCATGGAACTTGGCTGCAATAGGCAGTATCCGGCCGCGTTCGTGTAACCGTTCCTTGGCTACATGGTATCTCCCCTACGGCCGCCTTTAACAGGGTCGACTTCCCAGACCCAACCGGACCAGTAATTATTGTTACTGTACCCGTCTTGATGGCTAGATTGATACCCTCAAGGGAGAACGCGGACCCAGTAGCTGGACGGATATAAGCGTCCGTCATGGTAAGAACAACATGGTCGGAGGACTTTGGTGCTAAGACCTTCAGTTCGATCGCCGATCCATTCCTGGTAGAAAGGTCTGACTCTGTGTCCAGGACTCTCTCAGTTGGTGAGTAATTTGTGGGAGAAGTGAGGAATTTGTGAATTCGGTCAAAGGCACCCAAAGCCGCAGTTATTGCCGGGATTGATGCCAATAACTGTAGCGCCGGGCTTGTGATGAGGCTGATGATTGCAAGGGATGTAAATGCTTGCACGGTCGATAGTGTCTCCGAGTGATCAATCTTTGCGCGAATGACGAAAGCCGCAAACGTAACAAGAGAGGCACACATCTGAGGCAAACTCGCTTTATATTGTTAATCAACTTGGTTTGACGCTGGCTAAGAGCGGAATACCTACCAACCACGTTCAACCACACAATCAACCATCGGAAGTCCCTGGACAAGTCTAGTTCGCGCTCTCGTTGCGCCTGAAGGGTATTGGCGAGCACTTGAGATAGACCGAGCATCTTGACACTCTTCATTGATTTCAACGCCGAGGATATTATGCTGACTCGCCGTTGAATTGCACCAACCCAGACTTTCTGCCTGGCAGGCATGAATGTGGCCATATACATTTGAACAGATGTGCATACTATGGTGATTTAGTGAAAGAAATAGGTCGGGTGAAGAAGACCTACCCAGGATTACGAGGATCGGGGCCACACAAACAGCAGCGAGCTGCCGCTCTAGTAGCCAAATACCGATAGCGATCTCCACCACGCGGGCCCACAGCTCGCTAGCTTGCTCCAGAGACCGCGCGATCATGTCAATGTCAGTACTCATTAGCGTAACCGCAGCCGATTCATCGCGAGTCCCATCTGGTAGATCCATGGTGTGGTCGTAGACCAAGGCAACTGCTGCGCCACGGAACATCGTGATCATACGAAATAATTGGTGCTTGTAATGCACCGTTGATATCTAACTCCGTCAGTTCTGTCTGAGAAGTTAAGTAGGTAATGTGACTGCATACTGCGATCCCACCATAAATGAGCGCCGCTGCCCCAATCAATCCGTAGCCTTCATTACGGGTTAGCTGCGTATCTGGTCTGTGTAGCTGCTCCATTGCACGCTGAATGAAGAACGTCTGAGCATAGCTGAATCCAATGAGGCAGAGCCTGGGGAAAATAGTACGGAGAACTGCCCAACGCAGACTGATAAAGGTCGCAAAAATCAGACTACGTGTTTGGCTGGACTGGTACTTTTTCCAGGCTTTTCCAATCTTTCGCCTCAGACCTTCCGACTTCAGGTCGCTGTCCGTCGGGAACAAATCCTCGAGCGTCAGGAGCTTCCGAAAACCTATAACGAATAGACGGTTGAGCCACCAGAAAACGGTGCGAGCAAATAATCCACTGGTAGACTCGGGCGGAATTGCGAGAAGCGGTTCTTTGAGATAGCTGCGTTTGTTTTGGGCTTCTAGGGCCAGCAGAAGAAGCTTCAGAGCAACAGTTGCTGCAGAGAGAGCTCCGAGTGAGGACGGGTAATGTCGGATAAATAATGTGCGCACTTGCACAGCATCGAAGAGGGATGAAAAGAGGAGGTAGATGCCCAATAGCGACGATGGGCGCACTGAGCGATTGTGCTCGATGGTTGATAGAATAGCTATCGATAGAGCGTCCACCAGCGATACGGCGACAGCAGGAATGGCAGTCCGGACTAAGTCATAGCGTGCCCATTCAACCACCAAGGCAATCTGTAGAGCAAGGAGACAAACTGCGACGGTCTTCATTTGGTCAGGTACGGCTTCTGGCAGAATTCCGCTGTTTCTATAGAGGGGCAACTGACCAGTTTTCGCCAATGGGCGTTGTTTGCAACAGTTTTGACATTCTCTGGATAGAGCGACCAGATACGCCATGGAACCAGGAGGAGAAAGATGGCGGATGGGCCAAGGGAGAGGATACTCTGCTCGAAGAGCAGAGTGAAGTCAAATGTTGCTGGACACGCGACGACCGGTCCGAACGAGTCATCTGCAGCGGGGGAGCAGCTACCCGCCATGGTGATGTGAGGAGGGAAGCATATAGATATGGTAGATGGGGTAGATGGAAATATGTAATGAACGCAATCTATGCGACAGCGAGAGAGAGAAATAATGCACAGTGATGAGTATTTGAAGAGAAGAAATTGGAGGGCAAAGGGGCGCGATAAGATTGAGGTTGTAATGGCTCGTGACTGACCAGGGTCCCTGGTTTGGTGCGTCAGCGCATGGCAGCCTGGAGGCGGCCTGAAGCGCTCCCTCCCTTTTTCCCCTATTATGCTTACGCTTTGTTGTTTACAATCGCCCGCTAGATGAGCTTGAATGTAAGAAGCTTTCAGTTCCTGTCACATGAGTAATCGCATCCGAGTTCTACTTTGGTTGAGATATGCGACCGGAATTTGCCTACATGACAAAACCCTTCCAGAGTTATCTCGGGATTCCCAACTTGGGTGAAGCCGAGAGGTCAGCGCACCCTAATCGTGAACGTATCGTTTATAGTGTGTCTACTCCGCAATCTACCAGATGGAAGTCTATAGCTTGAGATGTACGATCTCTAGCCGCCCAGTTTTTTTCACTGCACGTCATTTACTATGCCCAACGATTATCTACCAAATCCTTAACCACTGTCTCATTCAATCCGGTATGGCTCCGGCATCGAACAAGCACCCTGGCACGGATCTTCCTCCTTTAGAGGAAACTCACTATGGCCGACAGTGTCCTTCACTTCAGAAAGATTAACGGGATTACTCCCACTATCTCGAACAGCCCTCCATAACGGCTCCGGGTCCCTGCATTGATGGGCATGCCCAATCCCATCGATGACGAGGATTCGGTTCCCATCTTTATTAATCGCTGGATGAGGTGGCTCAATAGTACCATCTGCTGCACATATTATGGACTTATCATCGTTAGTATTCTCGAACTCTACCGCGCCCAGAAGGATCACTCAACTTACCTGGGCAATATAATCAAAACAATGAGCCCAGTGCACTACGTCTTCATGCTCATCGCCTGAGTGTGACAGCGAGGTCGAAGCACCATGGTGCTGAGAGGTTTCAGGGAAAATCAGCACCCGAAGGACAGTTAGGCAATGAAGCTGATGGAACATGGAGATCCCGTAGTCGGTGATGGTGTTGTTATCCGTCCGGACCTTTAGAATACCGCCATTTTCGGGGAGAAGAAGAGATTCCCATGAGCGATGTGTATCATGAGGAGAGCCATCGGACTTAGAACCCAATAACGGAGTCAATGATTGGAATTTCCGGATGATTGGAGGTGTAAATCGAGGCTCGCTTGGGCAAACATGTATGTGAAACTTTTGTGAGAGGCTGGCTAAGCTGCCGGTTGATGTATATATGATACCAAGAGTTGTGAAAAGGAGGAAGATGAGTGTTGCTAGTATACTATAGAGGAAGCGTGTTTGTGTTGGCATGTTGGGGGTTTTTTTTTGGATCTCCAGTTGTTAGGGAGGGCAAGGGGGAGACCTTCCAACTACAAAAATTGCTCAAGTCAGACATACCAAGTAAGATGCAGTGGGTGAGAATCCCCCAGAAACCAATCCCCACCCGTGTGTCGCAGTGGCCTCGGGTGAAACGCACAGGTTGTCTCGTGCATGGTGCGGTTACATCGCAGAATCCCTATTCTGGGAGCGCACATTGTGTCCCCCTAGAAGGACCAATTGATACTGACATGTCAGCTAGAAAACTGGGATGCATACAAGGGGTCATGCATCGCCATTACATTTCCGGGGGGTGATTGACCAATCAATAACTATACAGTGTCTTATCAAATGCTTGGTGGCGCCTGCAGGGATGGAAGATCCAGCATGCTTAGGCTAACGCTTGACAACTCACTCGCCATTTACAGCCCAACCCCACTCTCATCCTTCCGCGGATAAGCAGCCGATCATGAACATGATACTACCATCCAAGTACTCGACCACGCTAGCTATGATCATCCAATGACCCCACTGTCCGAGCCATCATCCGGATTGGACTTGTACCAACCAAACAACTCCTTGAATCGATGCGACATGACCCGGGCCTCTGCTTCGGGGGATTTTCTAATGGCTGCAAACTCATCCACATCCACCGAGTTCTCCTCCTGCCAGCGCAAGATGGCGTCAAAATCACGGCATTTGTGATTCACGTTAAAGTCAGGGAAGGCGTTCAGCTGCGCATCCGCCCAGTAATGGGTGTAGATGTCGACATTAGCGTTGCACATCAGGTTCTGGAGCAGCAGGTAGGTGCAGTGGGAGATATGCGTCCGATGCATGTCAGAGGGCGGGGTTCCCGGCGGCCACTTCTTTCCATAGTAGTAGTCAAAGTACGCTTCACGCCGCAGCCAATCCAGACAATGGATCTGGTGGAAGACATCCAGTCGCCCAATGTACGCCTCGGATCCAAAGCCAAAGCTCTCGGGCCATTTGGCTGCCTGCTCAGGATCCCTTCCCAGCTTGGCCACGTCATCGCGACTGATGGCGATGGGGTTAATGTTCGCCAGTCGGTTCCAGGCTGCGTCTACCTCGGGGCTAGGGGGTTGGCGGTAGATGGGAAGGGGGTCTGGCTCCAGCAGCGTCGCATTCATTTTCTTGCTGATGAGGGGTATCTCAAGGCGATCGAACACAGGAGCTGCAACTGGTCAGCAATCTGAGATGACGGTCATAGTCGAGTCACACTCACAGTACTCGGAGGTCTTTCGTAAGAGATGGTTTGGGTCGCCAGTGCCCCGAACGATGCTGACAGTCATGGCAAAGAGAAATAGTGACAGCGCAAAAACAGTAGCATTCAGCCAGAGGAGCAATTGAAGGCGTCTATTGGAGTGTTGGGGCCGTTGGGGTGCTTGCTTCAAGAGAGATACATCGTCCTCGCTTTGCGTATCCCCAGAGACGCTGTAGGCCACATCGTCGTTGTCTCTGGTCCCCAGCGGCTCGTATGATGGAGATGCAGCAGGCTTCATTTTCATCATTCTCTGTCAGACTTGAGAGAGAGAAATTGGCAGAAGATTGGAGCTGTTTGTCGGTGCAACGAAGGTCAAATATCCTCGCTACTTTCATTGTGGTCAGCTGAACTGCGCAACACCCCCGTGGAAATATCAGGATGCATCAATAGTCTGTCAAGTATGCATTAGTGCTCGTGAACTGTCGCCACCGCACATGCCATCCAACTACCTTCATTGAGGGAATCGCTACGTTCTTTCCTAATTGAAACAGGCGCAGATACTTGCTGCTGTCACAGTCACACTGGTGTGAGCGGATACTACACCTTGGCTGTGTAGCTGTTTCACCCCGCTTGATCACGGGTGACGGCCGGGGGGGAGGGATGCAAGTAGCACGACCGGTGTTCAAGGATCACATAAATAGGCCCCCTCTTCCTGTCCTTCTGATTGTTGAGGCATCTTTTGTTCTCCCCTCAATCCCCAGCCGACTTTCAAAAGCGCACCCAATTACAATGAAGTATTCACTCCTCCTCTCAGCCATCTACGGACTGTTGTTGAGTCCCATGGCCATGTCTGCGCCGACAGCGAAGCGTATGCAATCCCGAGAAATTTACCAGATAGAGGATGTTATGCAACTGACACACGTCAGCAGCAGTGACCCTTCGCGTCAGGTCGGAGGACTTCCATGCTCTTCGGGAGAGAGCAGGCAACGAAGCCACCGCGTTGTATGCTTATATTGTCGCCGACACCGAGATCGACGACAAAGAGAAGCGCGATGACGAGGCCACTGCGCTATATGCGTACATTGCTGCCGACTCGGAGCTGGACAGAAAACGTGATGACGAAGCCACTGCGCTATATGCGTATATTGCGGCCGACTCGGAACTTGACAGAAAGCGTGATGACAAGGCTACTGCATTGTATGCATACATTGCAGCTGACAGCGAGTAAGCCGGACAAACTAAGCTTCGGGACAGCTGCTGCGCTAGAGCACATGGTACTGGTCTATTAATCAAGCGCTGCATTGCTTCTTGCGTAGTGCTGAGATGATGTGTCATATAATGGTCGTCTATGTTCCTTCTCCCTGGGTACGGTACATGTGTCAGTCTATTGATATAATTTCTTGGGATTATTTGACCTACCTATAAGAACCTGCTTCATCCCAAGATCTATTATCCCCACAGAATGTTCCACCTCGCCCACTTGCTCCTCTGAATGGGTACATTATCAGGGTCATTGCGACACTCAAACAGAGCCTGCTCCAGCGGTATTTCGTAACTCGATACCGTTTCTGTCTTCTTCCAGAACTTATAGCCCAGATAGAAAGCCAGTACGAGCGGAATATCCCTACCCCTAGTTAGTACAACGACATCCGGTGACACAGAATGCAACTCACAAGTACGACGAAACAAAACTCGAAGCATCCCAATTTCCATGAGTAAACACCGTGAATCCACCCGTGAACAAAACAATCACACACATCACCAGAGCAAACCAGGATGTATACACTGCTTTAATCAGCCACAGTCAATCCCGGAAAAGGTATTGAACCACTCACCAGACCACCAATGATGCCACGGCATCTCCGCCGTATCCAACCCTTGCGCCTTGAACCCCCGCATCAACCTGATATGATTCAACGCAATCGTGCCCCACGAAATCAACACCCCCGCCGCCGTCAAATCCAACAACCAATTAAACACCGTATACGCCTCGTTCTGGCACGTAAGGTACGCCAACGCAGACACAGCAATCTGCGCCACAGCACAAGCATATGGTACACCATGCCTTGTCGTGCGCAGGAACACCGCCGGGGCGTGGCCCTTTAGCGCGAGACCGTACAACGTGCGCGTTCCAGCCAGAATACTCTGATTCGATGCTGACCACGCAGACGTTAACACAACGGCATTAATAATCGACGGTACTACTTTAATCCCTGCATCGGATGCAGCGATCACGAATGGACTCTGCGCTGCCGTGCCGGATTCACTGCCCAGTCGGGGATCGTTACTAGGGACTATCATCCCGACGATCAGCACAGCGAGAAAGTAGAAGATAGTAACGCGCGCGAAGACGCGTTTACATGCGCGGGGAATGTTCTGTCGCGGGTTCGCCATCTCCGCTGCTGCGATGGTTAGACTTTCCACCCCAGAGAAAGAGTATACGGCATTTGTTGTGACGGCCCAGAAACCGAGAAATCGGCCCCACGGTCCCGAGGCGATATATTCGACAAACGGGCCGGGGTCTTTCCAGTAATGAAACCCGAGTCGCGGAGTACCCGAGACGCCGCCGAGGTCGATCACCAAGCCCATGAGGATGATGCCGATGATGAGGAGGATTTTCAGGATGGCGAAGACGAACTCTACTTCTCCGTAGACTCGGATGAAGAGCAGCGATACGATTGCCGAGATGACGATCAGGATCGTCACCCAAATAGCGGGGTTGAGGGTGTCATTCCAGTACTGGATTAGGACGACAGCCGCGGAGATCTCGCTGGGCACGGACATGAAGCAACCGTAGACGACGTTCCAACCTATCGCGAAACCGAGAGCCGGATCGACGAGCAGCTCGACGTGTCGGACAAAAGAGCCGGTCACGGGCATCAGGGCGGACACTTCACCTAGGGCAATTTGCACGGCGCAGACCACCAGGCCGATCAGTAGATAGCCGAGTAGGGCGCCGAGCGGGCCACCAGTCTGGATGGAGCTGCCTAAACCAAGGAAGAGGCCGGTTCCCTGGTAAATTATTCAGTACGTAGTACGAAAATTGACATTTCAAATTGTTGCGAAGAAAGGGGGATGGCCTACAATGGCACCCGCGATGGCTATCATCTGGGTATGGCGCTCTTGTAACCCCTTGCGTAGATTCTGAGCCTCTTCATCCTGGATGATACGCGGTGTGCGGTCTCCGACTTTGGGGAGCGCAGGGCCTGGTTCGAGGGTGGGCGAGATGTAGACATCTGGGTCCTTTTGGGTGTTATGGATATCATCCATGGTGGGTTCTCAAAATTGAGGCCGATGTGATGAGGAAAAGCAAACAATCCACAATAAGCTGAATGGTGGGGGGGGGGGGGGAAATGGCGATCACTTTATGCTGGCGATACCGCAGCAGGTTGAATTGGTGTGATTGGGTCGATAAAGCACACCAGGCGATGGCGACATTCCGGCGCCGCATGGGATCTTTCCTATCACTCACCGATTGTTGATAATAATTAGTTCTGTGGTCTTTGGTCGGCCGTTATGGTGTTTTTGGCATTATGTGGATCTGATACTAGCCACTATGACTAACAAGCAATAAATGTTATCGGGAATCCCGTCGCCCCATCACCCTATATCGTCAGTCTTGGCAGCATGCAATGTTTTCTTTTTCCGACCAGCAGATCCTGCACGCCGTCAGAAACTTCAGGAAGCTGCGTAATCGGAGAAGCAATTGCTAATTGCAACCCAGGATGAGCCATTGCATCTGATTGCGGTCGCGCGAATGGCGTTTCCAACTCTAGATAAGGATTGTCAAAGCCAAGCCCCTCCAAATGCGACAGGGCTCCTATGAAATGCCACTGATTCTAATCTCACGGGAAACCGGAGTTTGTATCCCGGAGCAGTGCAACAAGAAGGCGTCCGTGTAACTTGTTGCAGATTCTGTCACGGTCATCAGGATGAGCACGAGGGATGCCTGCAATTGCCAAGCCATGCAGGCTAAAAATAACTTGACGATGAATGACAGCAGAAACTAGCATCATGGAAGTGAACCTCACGAGCAATGAATTTTATTCCATATAACCAAATAACAGACAAGCTCGGTCTTTTGTTTAGCATCAAATCTAAGCCATTATACATCATACGCCATAATTCAATGAACATCAAATACCCTTCCGACCGCCCGAACAACCGTTACTCCAGAGGGGTTTGTCACGTCCCGGACATTTCAAGATCGATAGTAGTCTTCTAATTATCCCCCATGCTTTCTTTTCCTCACTCGAGGGCGAGCCCAAGGTCTCCGTCATCCCCCGCTAAATCTTCCACGGACATCTCAGCCTCAGCGGCATCAGCGGCCTGTTTCATGGCGATCTGCTGCTCCTGCTCCTCTGGTGATAGGGCCGCGAAAGCCGCTGTGTTGGCATCCCAGTCCGCCACACATTGCTTATTCCAGTTGCACTGTTCGACTTCGCCGTAGAGAGGGTGTTTGAAGCGAGGATGGGTGTTGGGCCACCCTGACGCGTGGTAGTGGTGCTTGACCAGCGCCGATCGCGCATTGTGGTTACCCGAGTCCGAGTGACCCTGGCCTGCAGCAAAGGCCTCCACTGTGAGCACTAGGATACCACCCACTAATTTTGACTCGGGGATGTCGTGGAACGTCTTCCAAGTCACTTCCTGGCCAGTGCGGGCGCTCATCTCGGCCAGTACAGCTTCCGTAAAGGCGGACGGACCGGTTCCACTGATGATGTCGTCGAAGTCAAGCTCGAGGTCGGAGATGGGCTTGCCCTGCTTGACAGAGTGATCGTGCAGCCACTCGAGGATGCGGTTCACCAGCCGCATCATGACTGGTTGGCGTGGTTTGCTGATAAAGGTCCATTGGCAAAAGGATTGTGACTTGGGACCCAGGATAGCATGATCGTTGAAGTCGGGTTCGTCAATCTCAACACCAATCACCAGGTCCATGTCCGCTTCGTTGAAGCGTTCGGGGATGAAGCGATCTAATGGCCGCAGGGCTTCGACGTCGATATCAGCGTATACTCCACCGTCCACGTACATTACGAGGTAGCGAAGTAGATCGGCCTTGATGATCTTCGCGGTCAGGGAGCGGTAGGTCTCGACAATGTCGGGACGATTGAGGCCATCAGGCCCGAAGTTTGTTTCAACATAATGTAGGTCGTTTTGATCGGTCAGCACCTCGTAGCGGTATCCTGGGTTAATAGAGGTCCAGGTACGGGCCACGTTCAGGTCACGCTCTTCAAACTCGAAGGGATTGACCTTCCATGACTGCCATATCTTGCGGGGGAAGAGCCTGCACTTGCTCTGACGCGCGAGGCCCCCGTGAAACTCGGCGAAGGTGCCTGTAAGCGAGAGATAGAAAACTAGACAGAAGACTGCCAGGAAGAGCGGCACCACCCGGCGAACCTGTCGTGGAAGACAGACACCGGACATGGCGGGCATGGCAGGCATGGCAGGTATGGGAGTCTTCAACTGCATTGTGACGGACTGGCCCAACTGACCCATGAGGGGGATGAGAGACGAGGGGTTCGGCGGACGAGCGAAAAAAACACACGCTGCTGAGGGCAAGAATGTTTATGAGCCAGAGCGAGCCGGTCTGACCAGATCAGCTCTCCCCGCAACGCGCGGCCAGAAATCAGCGCCATTCGGACCTGGCCAGGGCAATTCAGGGCATTGCACCTCGAAGCTATATTACGGGCTCCACCCACCTGCGTGACACTAATGCTCTTAGCTTCACGAGGGCCCGGCTGAGAGGAGCCTGCTCGGTGTGCCTGTCGAGCGATTGGGTCGAGACATATCGCACCCATGTCGATCGCATTTGCCAGAGCCCGGGGTTGCTCAATGCTACCTCGGGTCTTAGTCTGCTAGCTCTGTCCGGATGGGAAATGAGTCCGACGCATGTGCTTCTGGGCCAAGACACGATAAGCTGACTACTGCTCTGCAATCTGTCGATCCGACAGCCCAGCTCGGGGTTTTGGGCATTCTGAATGTCACCAGTCTTTCCCTCAAATATCGCCCCTCATCTTCAGCCAGCGAGACTCCGTCTTGACGACGCGTTTTGCCCGACTTGTTTTTCACTATGCCCGTCCGCACCCTCTCGCCAGATCGTGAAAAGTCCATTCTGCCCCTCTCGGTGGATCTCCGGAGCAAAGCCCGCTGGCTCAGTGTGCTCCTACCGTCTTTCCTGTCCTGGGGTGGGAGCAGCACTTCGTCAACGGGGAAAGCCCGGCGGACAGCCTACTTAGACGGGCTGCGCGGGTTTGCAGCCTTCCTGGTGTACTGGGGACATCATGAATTATGGGCACACGATGGCATGGGCGCTGAGCGGATCTTTGAAAATGCGTATGGTTATGAGAAGCAACACTTCCTGGTCGCGTTTCCCGGAATTCGCACCTTCTTTTCCGGTGGGCATTTTGCGGTCAGTGTTTTTTTCGTGCTATCGGGCTATGTGCTATCCGCCAAACCGCTGGCGCTGATCCAGGCGGGTGAATACCTTCAGCTGGGCGACAATCTGTCCTCCGCGCTGTTCCGGCGATGGCTGCGTCTTCACCTTCCTGTTATCGCCACCACGTTCATCTATCTCACCTTCCTTCACCTCTTCCATGTCCGCGCAACTCCCGAATTAAAAGGCACCTACGGTGAAGAAGTGTGGAACTGGTATATCGAGTTCAAGAACTTCAGCTTCATTTTCCGCGGGGGTGGTGAGCCATGGTTCACCTACAACTTCCACTCGTGGTCCATTCCCGTCGAATTCCGCGGATCCATCATTGTCTATACGGCTTTGCTGGCCTTTTCCCGCCTTCGCCGGAACATGCGTCTGGCTGGTGAGGCCGGACTGATCTTCTATTTTCTCTACATTGCCGATGGCTGGTTCGGAGCGCTGTTTATCTCCGGCATGCTGCTTTGCGACCTGGACCTGCTTGCGGCACGCGACAACCTTCCGGACATTTTCTTGATGCTTGGGCCGTTCCAGGAGGGGATCATCTACTTCCTTTTTGCAGTCAGCATCTACCTGGGCGGCGTGCCATCTCGCACGTGGGACCTGCAGGCGCTGCGGGATTCCCCGGGGTGGTACTACCTGTCCTTCTTGAAGCCCCAGGCGGTGTTTGACTACAAGTGGTTTTATTTGTTTTGGGCGTCCACCTTAATCGTGACGGCAATTGGGCGGATCGGCTGGCTGAAGAGATTTTTCGAGCTACGCTTCAACCAGTATCTGGGGCGGATATCCTTCGCCTTCTATCTAGTGCATGGACCGGTGTTGTGGGTGCTTGGTGATCGGCTGTATGCTGCGGTGGGTTGGGTGCGAGATTCGCATGCCACCAATTGTCCCGGGTGGATCGATCGCTTCCCGCTCCCCCGCACGGGGCCTCTGGGGTTGGAGGTCAGCTTTCTGGCTACTCATTTGATTCTGCTGCCGGTGACCTTTTGGTTGGCGGAGATCGTAACCAAATTGATCGATGAGCCGAGTGTGCGATTGGCCCAGTGGCTGTATCGCCGAGTGACGCGTAGTTGATGCTGCAGTTGCCAGACATCTCCGAAATGAATGTCTCAGTTTTGCTTCTTCTGTTGGGTGATTTGGTGTAGTCGCCTTTTCTTACTAGTGTGCCGTAAGCTCATCTTAGACCCATCTGCCATTTGCCTTCCTGGTGGATTCGTTGGTCCCTGAGAGGCCCAAGCGACAGGGAGATACCGGTGGGGTTGCCGCTTCGGGACGAGAGACACAGTCCGGCTCGCCACTAAAAAGCAATAGTTCCAACCCGAGCCCTGGCCGGCATCCAGTGGCTTCTAGACGGCTGCAACTAGCGCATCCTGAACTGACCGTGTTATTTTGTACTTTCTTATCACATGTTGGATCCCGAGTGAAAACAGCAATACGTCCGGATCGGCACGCCACTCACAGGCGGGGGATGCCGTCTTTCCTGTCTCTCTATGCTGTAAGCTGAAAGCCTAGCTCGGATGCAACCCTAATTAATCGCGATATCGCAGTCTCCCATCATGCAGACATTAACGGCGGGCGCGATGGTCCCTCGACCAACACCCCTCCCCTCCCCTCCGCTTCACAACCATGCTCTCCCGAATACTGCGCTTCGTGCCTTTAGTGGCCCTACTCATCCTCCTCCTCAGCACCTTTTACTATCTCTATCGGGCCATTCACGTCGACACCCATCCTGATCTCGACCTGGGCCTTGAGACCGCCACCACCACCGACCTCAAAACCCTTCCCGACAACACCGTTAGCCAACTCGTCGCCGACTCTCACCATGAAATAACATCCAACTCGACCCCGGAAGGCCGATACTTCCGCATCGACTTCCGCTCCCGACGCGGTATTAACCCCAGCATCATCCCGCACCCCTCCAAGCCCAACACCTGGATCATCACCGCGCAGCTTCATGAACCCGGTCGTCGCGACAAAGACAGCGCCTGGTTCGTCGAGCTTGTCTGTGATGCCGTCTTCCAAGACAAAGGCCGCACTCTCCGCTGTATCGACTATCCGTTTATCCTCCCCATTGCTGCAACCGAGGGCAACAACGCCCTCTGCTCCGGAAGCCTCGCCTTCTTCGCCCTCAGCATCGGTCCACACGATGCCCGCGTCTTCTACGGCCCAGACGCCCCGTACACCATCTACGGTTCCAACTCCGCCGTGACCTGCTTTGGCCAGTGGATTCTCGACTTCCGACTCCTAGTCGACTGGCCTGCCTCCGACACCATCACAGACCATGGCTTCCGTCGCGCCACAGAGCTCCAGCGCCCTTCAACGGCCCCGTACTTTGCTGTCGAAAAGAACTGGTTTCTCTTCTGGGACCGAGCCGGCAACGCCTACGTTCACTACGATGTGGCACCCAAAAGAGCCTTCGCTGCCTTGACTCTAGACGGATCCGTCGGCTCTGATCTTGCTCCAGCAGCATCGAATGTAGATGCAGCCTGTCTTCAGAAATACCTACCGCATATGCAAGACCCCGACCACGAATCCATCCACCAAGCCACGAACTCCCTAGCAGTGACGCTGTGTATGCGTGCAGACCCGAACTGCCAACCGGATGACTCGAACACAGTCATCTTAACGATCTTCCAGCATAAGCGATTTGTGGGATTCCATAGTAGCTACGAACCGTACGTGATGCTGTTCTGGCAAAGGGCGCCGTTTGAGATCTACGGGATTTCGGATAAGCCTTTGTGGATTCACGGACGGGGGATGATGGACGAGGGGAATCAGACAGAGATGATGTATGTGACGTCAATCGGGTGGAAAACTGCTGGGCAGAAGTATCATGGGTATCTTGATGATGTGATGTTCTTGGCGTTTGGAATAGAGGATGCGGATACAGCGGGGGTGGATGTGGTTGCGGGGGATTTGGTGGCTGGGGTGGGGAGATGTTGATCTCTTATCTTACTCAGATTATATTATAGAATGGGGGAGGGTAGATTGCGATGTGACATGCTATGATGGCATTTCTTATGATTACTATGTTGAATGTGATATTGTACGATAACAACTCCCCCTTCCATTTTCCATCTTCCCTCGGTAACACAATTTATCGTGTGATCAGACCCCCAATGCAACCACAGCTTAAATTAACTTGGCAACCTCCGAACCCAACCAGTCCGACCAATATGTCGGGATACATATTAGGCACACATTAGCGTGTCGCTCAGGCCGCTTATCTACCTGTCTCGGTCAGCACTAGGCTGGTTCTGGGCCGTGGAGCTCGTGCAGGTCAGGTGGTCATTGGTAATTTTAGCTAACGCAGTGGTATGATTGCTTAATTAGATTGGAAATGAAGCTTTCACATGCTATGTGAGGCTTACTTTGTTGTTCTTTTCCCGAGGAAAATGGGGTTGTTTGTTCCTTGCCCCAGGGTCTCTTGTTGGAGGTGGCTTATTACCCCGCTTTTAGGTTTTATTAAGCTGGATCTAAGTTAAGCCGTGGGGAGACGGTTGGGATTTTTGCTTGGCACGATAATTGAGACATTGATCTGGAACGGAGTTTGCGCGTCGGCCTGATTGTATATTATGTGATTGGGTTCGGATTGCGCAATAAGACCTGATGTGGGACATTGACTGTACCGGGTAGCACTTCTATTGCTGTGGGGTACATGCTCACTAGCGTTGCAAACACACATATTGATGATGCACCAGTCGGTGATATGTAATATGTCACCTCCCTGAGCGCTGACTCGACACAACTTCAAGGCCGCGCCACTTTTGTATCATTCAACAGTAGGCTGTTCCGCGCGCATGCAAGGTGTACGCAGACCAAAAGACTCGAGGCGCTAGTGCAGATACTCTATATTCTGTCTGGGTAGCTCGACCAGTAGCCTAGTATGAGTAATTGGCATATAGTCTGCATCTTGGTATGCTTCTGGTTCTTAGTGAGTGATGGAAGTAACAAATTTGGTTACTACAACATGATGCACGCGTGTTCTTCTTAATGACGTTTAGAGTCCGTAGAATGTACAGTCGACTATACATCGACCCTACTTCCAATATTCCATCTTGCGACATGCACGTAATTTTCTGGAACACTCATATTAATGGCTCCCAAGTTGTTGTATAGATTGCTTGACGTGCCAACCGCTGAACCAAAAAGGATATAACGTGTCCACCTGATCAGCCTGCAGAGGGGCCTGATCCACCCATGCTTTCAGACTTAACGTTCTCTTGTAGTTCCGCTTCAAGCACTGTCATCACCTCACCGTCATACTCACATTCGATATTGAGATCAAACTTGAGTCTGCCTTCTGGAATATTTTCTGGCAAGAGACAATCGTCAGGGTAGTAGCCCCGGATCTCCACTTTCCCGGGCTGAATGGGACATTTGGTGGGGAAGTTCCCATACTTGGACAAATCAGCGATAACAGCTGAGTACTGGTTCATGAACTCGCAAAGTGGTTGTTGCGTCTGGTTCAAGATTGGCTGCCAGTCTCCATTTCTGTTTCTGTTGTATCCTTGCAACGAAGCAGTACATGTGCTGTTGAGGGGCTTGTCAATGGTAATTTGACAATTTATTTTTATAAGATCGTCCTCATCGTCGACGCTATGCATGGTTATTATTCGGATCGCAACAGGACATCCAGAATGAAACTTACTCCAGGTCGCAGAATGATGGTCCAGAATATGGAGGATTTGCTGTGAGCTCAACATCTAGAAAATCTATGACATTTTTCGAGTCGTCGTTGGGACAGGTTTGCGCCAATGAGGTTGTAATAAACAAAGCAAGTATAAAAATTCCGGAAGGAATAGATAGCAAATAAGGGTTGGGAAACATTTCGAGGATGGGTAGTGGAGTACTGACCGAATGATGTAGCGAGTCCTATATATACTACGTGTCTGGTAAAAGTACTATGATATCATGCTAGTTATCACACGAGCAATATACGACTTCACGAGTGTGCTTTTGCTTTTCTGTATTGGCTTGGCTATAATCATCGCCATCATCTAATATTAGCCACGATAAAAACAAATCTAGTATTAAAGACGTGTTCGGTGGTTTCGTCATACAGCTCACAATACATCAACGACGTATCGCGAGCAGTTAGTTATATTGACCTAACAATCTTTTTCCCTATACCTACGTGCCCACTCGAAGATATACCAGGTTTCTAGATACAGGATTCGTGAATGTTGCAGAAAAGAGGGTGCGGAAAAAGAAATGCAGGCACGAAAGACTAGTTGAACATTAAACATAGGAGTGTGCATGCACACCCCTCCTTTTCATCAATCTGAACTGTCAACTGCTTCAATGTCACTGCAAAGCTGACCAATGCAACTCTACGTGCCTCTACGAGGAAAGTCACTGATCAGGTGAAGTGGATATTATACTTTCCCCTACACCCTCAAACCCTCAGCTAGCAGATCGGTCGCGCAGATCGACAGATGATCAGCTGAATCCTAAAGAGCATTAACTCGCCTGCTCTTTTGGCACAGAAGCCCAAATAGCAACCATTTTAAATAAGTAACCCGATCTGAGAGTCTCGAAAAGGCATCTCACCGCCTTCGCCATACTCATTGATCGGAATCGCCTAGCAGGGGCTTCAATATTCAGCCCAAGAATGTGGCATCTTCAGAGAGTCACTCAAATTAAGAGCCAACTTTCAAAGTCTCTGTTTGCTGTGCATATCAGTATAGTGCGCGTTGGACCCATAAAAGGGTCATGCTCAACAAGGGGTCGCATTGAGATGACTCCATCGGAGTACCCAACGCTTTCTGACGTTTTTTGGGTGTGTTTTGAACAAGGGTTCTAGCATGTGCATGTCCGGACGTATTTGGCTCCGAAGTCAGGGTGTTTCTTGTCATATTACCACCCTTACGCCATGTAGCAAAAAGGCAGCTCTTGCTATGGAATCGCCACATCCATCACCGATGATACCGTGATGTTCCATTTCCTCACCTAATAGCTTGATACTACCAAAAAGATTCTACAATTACCTTTCCATCATTGCGTTGAGCCCGAAATGAAGGCGGTCATCCACATTCGGGTGGAGGGTTTCATCCATCTCCGAGCAATGTTGCATTCCAGCGTCGTCGGCAGGAACATCAATGGGAGCATCATTAGGGTTCATTCATGGTTTCGGCTGTCATTAACCACGTAGTCGACATGAAACTATTGATGTAATACAAGTCGCTATTTCGAATTCCATATTCTGTACCGCTTAATAGTCTGCATCGCATCCAGCCCAGGGAGGCTGATTCTGTTGTCAAGGCAGTTGCTGAGATTGAGCAAAATGCCAGCTTACCGGGGAGAAGGTTCTCCTACGATGCAAATGACCGATTGGGGAGAACGTATCACACGCAGCTCGACTGAATGCAAAGTTACAACGCACATCACCGAGACAGCAGACCGTGTAATCGATACATCGCTCAATCGGCGACGGGCTCTCTTTGAGACTACTAGGCGAGTTCTGGCAAGTGCCGTGAACGAGGGCCTGGCCAGCGCAACTATAGTGAGGTCTATACATCCAAACTTGGTGTTGTGTCTACATGACCCAGCTGGAATTGTAGAGACTTGGATCAAATGTGGTCTCCGAAATTCCGCCTATGTTGAGAACAATGATGGGAGAGTCACTGGATTTCTACGTGCGGATGATCTACTTCCTCCAGTGCTCACTCAAGCAGTCGAAGGGGAAGTATCAGAAGATTTAGACCCAGGTGCCATTTGCCGCATTATCTGCATCTGGCAACCTGAAAATTTTCCGAGTGCCGCCGTAGATACACTTGTGAAGGAAGTCCGAAATTCTGCCGACAATCAAGGTGAGCCTCCAAGGCATATTCTAAACGTCCAATTCTAACATGAGACAGAAAAATGGCTGGAGATAGCCAGTACTCAGCCGACGCTACATCTGAAGTCCCCTTTGTGTGATTGGGAGCAGTCCGTTGTGCTTGGACATCCAACGCATCCGGTGAGCTGTCCCACTACCTTTCTTGATCCTAATTGCCTTAGTGTTAGCGCTGTGAAGCTACACCGGGCATGTCTTGCCCAGCCGCCTTTGAAGCCCATGACACCTGACGAGATATCTGAGCTGCTGGAACCTGAGCTATCGTTTCTGTCTTTGCCACGATCAGAAATGAAAACCTTCGGACCATACACGAGTTTACTTAAACCTCTTTTGGAGCAATTAGGGATTTCTAGCCCTGAGTCACCAGACAGAGTAGTACCACCGTGTTTCACTCGTCAGCTTCCGAGCATCCTGCCGCTCTTTCCTGATGCACGCCACATTGGTGCTGTTAGAAGATGCTGTCGTGCGCAGATTTCAATGCGTACTATATCATTCCTCCCTGATGTGGGGTCTCCTTTGCATCTTAAGCTCTCACTGAATTGCCAGATCACATCAGGCCCGAGGACTATTACACCGTGGACTGCTGCTTTAAGTCCAGCGCTCAGTACGGCGCTGAGAGCCTTACTGCCCAGTCCTGACCTCTTTGGGCGATCCAGATGCCAAGGCAGTGCATGATCACTTCATGAATAAGACTATGGCGTTCAAGTGTTTTATGGAAATGCGACTACGAAATATCTATCGTGATGTAAGTCTATTTCGTGATATTTCAGGGGCATATGCGTCGAGTATGGTTCGGGCTAATAGTGCATAGTATTATGAGAGAGAGCTGCCGAATGTTCTCCTCCGGGATATGCAGTCAAAAGATGACCCTACTAGCAAAGTAGAAGTTTGAAACGCCTACCGAACCGGCAAGAGGCCTTCGGACCTCCGCTTTGCCGTATTCAACCCATATGAATGACTTTTGGACATGGGGCATAATATTGTGCATGCACACTGTTCTTCGCTCCTAAATGCCAGTAGCTCACTGCTTTTGTTTACTACTAAGCTGAGCAGTGTAGCTTTATGTGCCTCGGAGTAATTGAAGTCCTAAGAGCAGGAGTTAAGGGTTTATCTGCGTTATGTATCAGCAGAGAGCGCGCTGGTCTCATGAAATGCCAGTGCTTAACAGGAAATTGAATCAAATTTGCAGAGGACCTATCGGAGTACCTAACGCTTTCTAATGCATTGTGTGTGTTTGGAATATAGTGCTGGCTGTGTATATTTATAATTACTTTATTTCCGATCTGTGAAGCTAGCCATGCACCGTCACGAGGACCACCCTGTTGGCGTCCTGCGCCGCGAAATGCAGGTATCATTCTGGGACACCCGGATTTCGCGATATAAGTCCCGATGTCATGATAACTTCCTCAAATGAAAGTTTTCCGCTTATTCCGAGCCTGTCTTCTGTGCTGCGATTGGAGGTATGAGGTAGATCGCGAAGCAAACGTATCGAGCGATCGTGCTGCCGATCTCGGAACAGTGAACTGTGGAGCTGAATGATGAGATAAACCTGAAACGAATAGGTTCATCCTGTGCCATACCATATATGTGACCGCAGCTGATAACTGGTGATATCGAGTTTATTCCGTTCATGTCTCAGCTGACGACCATGTCCATGCGCATCGCTCGAATTTCCTAGAATGCCGACAATTGAATAGCCTATATGAGCTTAATACTCCAACTGACTCTAATTCACGAAAGAGAAGCTCACGGAGACTCTCCGGAGCCATCCTGTTTCACGTATCCGCTGCCAAGCATCCCCTATCCATCGACATCGCTGGTCGCATGAGCAATTATCCGTGGTGTCCCACGGGATCTTCTGGGCAATTCATCACAGAAGCAGAGACTGCTGCCTGTCATATAGCACCCCAATCTATTTTCTTCTTACTGACTCAGGTCAAATACAGACGGTGTGGAAATAGACTTATGAACTCTAATATAGCCTCACAGTGGAGCACCGGTTTGGCAGGCCGTCGGGCGGTGAGAAGCCGAGACCCTGGCATCGATCAAGATGAAACCCCAGTTCCATTAACCAGGGGAAATGCCACATCAGGGTCTCACTCTCATCGAGAGCAATGGCACCAGATAGGTTTAGGCCACACCCTTATTTCCCATAATAGCGCTTCTGTCGGAACCAGTAGTCCGTCTCACCAGCTCTATATATCCGAGCAGGTCCCCCGATATTCGCGTCAGCAGCAACACATACATTGCAGACAGCTTACCAACTATCGCCCGTCATGCGTGGCTCTTTCGCTCTTTCTCTGCTCTCTGCGGCGCTGGGCGCCTCTGCTGCTGTCACCGAGTCTAACCTTCAGACCCACGTCGACGTGCTGGCACTCGACAGCTCCTTCAACCCCATCGAGGCGGCCTACTGGACCGACTACATTCACCATCGTCGCACTCCCTTTGCTGTCTCCCCCGATGGAAAGACTGCGTATCTTGCCTACCTGGATGCCAGCGGGTCTGACGTCCACGTTACCGAGCTGGACCCGACTACCTTTGAGGCTACGGGAACCACCGTCACTGTCAGCGGTGGACAGGAAGGTAAGCCGTATTAACCACTATATCCCAGTTGCACCTCTCATTAACACCCCGCAGCTGGTGGCCTTGTCGCCCACAATGACGGCTTCGCCCTGTTGACCAACGAGGCCATGCCCTCCGGCACCACCAACGCTCCTCCCAGCGACACCCCCGTCCCTGTCCTCCACCGCTACACCAACGGCAAGCAAACCTGGAAGACCTGGCTCGGTGGCCCCGGCGTCCACTCCTCCGACGGTCTCTCCGCCTCCCCCGACCTGAACGGTGACCTGGTCTACTCCGAATCCGCCGGCCTCTACGGCGCCTACTTCGTCGTGACCGACTACTCCGGTGACGCCTCCGGCCACTACGGCGACAGCATCGAATACGTCGCCGACAACGGTACCCTCGTGACCATCTCCGGCGCCTCCAGCTCCTGGGGCTGCAGCCACAACACCGGTATCGCCTTCGAGGCGGCCGACGAGCCCCCCTACGCCAGTATCTGCGCCGAAGACCAGGGCGCCATCTGGCTGAACACCAAGACCCAGGGCATGACCAACGACGGCGTCAAGATCTCCAACGAGAACACCACCAACGGCGCCTCCGGTGAAGCCATGGGCGGTATGGGCGGCAGCTACAGCGGTCTCGCTCGTTTCGCTGATAGCACTCGCTACATCTTCACCTGGGTCTCCCGCGGCGCTGTCGACGTGACCGAGAACACCTGGATGGGCGACGGTTACACCCACGTCAGTAACCGTACTAACCCCCGCAATGTCGCCCTCGCCCTGTTTACCGACAAGTACACCAAGGTCGGCAAGCAGGCTACCTCCACCGTCGGTGCCGAGGACGGCGATAGCCAGGTCACCTGGGTGACCTCGGGGTCGAACGACTGTTCCAACGCTCACGTCGCCACCTTCGGTAACTCCTCGGCCCTCATCACCTGGGAGGAGATCTCCGATCCCATCTGTGAATACATCGCCATGGGTTGCCGTGGACAGTTCGCCGGAACTTACTTCCAGCAGGTCGATTCCGATGGTAACAAGGTCGGCGATACCTTCAAGAGCACCGATGTCTATGTGTCTGGAGATATGGTCACCATGTCGGATGGCCGTATCTGCTGGCCGTATGTCAACATGGACTGGGATCTCTCTGAGGTCGTCTGGTCTGCCGATAGCTCCAAGTACACCAAGAAGATGAGCTTTGCTTGCATTGGAGGAAGTAGTAGCTCCTCGAACTCTACTACCACTGCTTCTGCTACTGCCAAGGCTAGCACCTCTGCTTCTGTCGCTGTTGTGAGCAGCGCTTCTGCGGCTGTCACTCATGTTGCTGCCGGCGCGGCTAGTGCGTCCGTTGCAAGTGAGACTGTTCAGGAGACACCTGTTGCTCCTAGCAGTGTCGCCGCTGTCGCTGCGGAGGCTACCTCGGCTGTTGTCTCTGCCCAGGTGCCTAGCTGGACTGTGGGTGGAGAGGCCCGTCCTTCTACCTTCCAGACCCAGGTGCAGGTGCCTACCCAGGCTGCTCAGGCTGGATCGAACTGGGGAATCAACAAGGGCTTTGGCCAAGAATTCGGTCAGAAATCCGGTCAGAGCGAGGAGGAGCACGAGGGACACTGCCAGTTCTAAGCCATGGGCAGGTTGAGTGCGTGTGATGGGTGGTGACGGATGGTCTCGTATAGTACTAGACATCATCAATAGTGTAATCACACAGCTCTTCCCTTGTTCATCATGGTCGTGAATTGTCAAACAGCATATCAAAATAGACAATGAAGAAATCAGACGGTGTTGACCTCAACATCTAGACTACTGACCCCCAATGAGAGCGAATCGCTCCAACACCTGCTCCCTCACCTCCCTCACAATACTCTCCGCGTCCTTAACCTCATGAACCAACCCAATCGACGCCCCCGCATACGTCGCCAGCCTCCCCTCCGGTCCCCAGGCCTGATCCCCCTGCTTCGCAGCCTCATCATGCAGCACCTTCAACTCCTCAAACCCCTTCCCAGCCAGATGCTCCACCCACGACCGATTAATAACTGTCCTGGGCATATACTCCTCGGGCCACCCAAACGTCCCCCGTAGATGATTATACAACAACGTCTTCGTAGTCCCCACAGCCCCATCCTCAGCCCTCACAACCTCCTGCTGATACCCGCGCGCGATTCTCGTCTCGCTCGCAGCCAGGAACCTCGTCCCCATGACCACCCCAGACGCACCAAGACACAGCGCCGCCGCTGCGCCCCGTCCATCAGCTATCCCGCCTGCGGCAAACAGAGGGATCTGACTCCCCGCCATTGCATCGGCCACCTCCGGTAAGAGCGAAATCAAACCCATTGCATCTTTAGCACGCCCATGTCCTCCTGCTTCTGCTCCCTGAACGACAACCACATCGGGTTTCTCCGTCGATTTCAAGATACTCCTCGCCTCGGATAACGTCCCGATCTGGATCCAGATCTGAGTTCCCGGTGACGCGGCACGAATCCCTCGGGACCAGACATCTAGATCTGCTTGGCCGTTAGGTGGGGCGTAGAGCCATACCGCACAGGGTTTGTATTTCTGGATGGCGTCGACGGCAGTGTCGAGGTCGTCGGCCCAGAGGAGGAAGCCCACGCCGATGGGGAGATGGGGAGATGGTGTTGTCTTGAGGGCAGATGAGGATATTAAAGATGATGCTTGCTCTAGATCTGCGGCTATGTTTTGGATGGCGTTGTTGACGAAGCCCAGGCCCCCGGCCCGCGATACTGCCACGGCTAGGGCGGGGCCGGACATGACGCGCATGGGAGCACTCACGATTAGGGGGCTGGTGGTCCATGGGTAGAGGCGGGAGAGGTTGGGTGCGAGGTTTTGAAGTCGTGGCATTTTGTGTTATGATTGTGGTTGTGATTGTGATTGTGATGGTCTGCGATGTATAGTTAGAATGATTAAATGATTGATGATGATGTTGATGATAAAAGTAGTGGAGGGGATGAGATGACGTGAGATGAGATGAGATGGGATTATGGGGTTTAGAGAGTGGGGCTAATCCGGGTTCCGTTGATTGCCGAGCGCGTATTGCGGGTGTTGCGGAGGTACGGCGGTTAATAACAGCCATGGGGCAAATACCTTTTTTTTTTTGGTCCAGCATATGGTTGATTTCCTTCATCTGGT